TAGATCGCAAGTGTGGTGGGGAATGAGACAAGAGAATTCTGGCATAATGTAAAATTTTATAAAATATGTATTTAATAATCAATGAATCCATCCCCAGAAAACGTCAAGAAGATTTTTCTCAAATGGAATTTACGAAAGGATATTTGGAATAAAATTTGGAACTTTCAAATTCAAACGCATGGTTTATTTCTCTGTTTATCTGCAACGAACAATTTTCCAAGTCTATCAGGAGCCATTGCATATTATACTAGGTGCGCAACTAAGTTTCCGGGTTTTTTTGATCAATGAAAAATGGAAAATTTCAAGAGAAATACAAAAAATAGTTTATTCAAAGTATCGTCCCTCGCTAGCTACATATTTTTGCCATCTCTCTGGCATGAATACCGCGACGATAAAACGACGCGTCTTTGGACAAACCATTCATCCAACCAATTTTGCACTTCTTCGAAATTAGCCAAGTGTAGCCCAGCCAAGCCATGCGCCATCGATCGGAACAAGTGATAATCGGAAGGGACCAGGTCTGGTGAATACGGCGGGTGCAGTAGCAGATCCCATTTCAGCGTTTTGATGATGTCCTGGACGATGGAAGTGCGATGGCACAGAGCGTTGTCGTGCTGCAATATCACTCGTTCGTGTCTCGTGTTCCATTCGGGCCGTTTTTCGAGCAACGCATGGTTCAAATTGATCAGTTGTCGTCGATAGCGATGCCCATTGACAGTTTCGCCCCGTTTCAGCAGCTCATAGTATACGATTCCTTTCTGGTCCCACCAAACGCAGAGCATTGTCTTCTTTCCGAAGCGATTTGGCCGTGAGAAGTGATTTGGCCGTGTCGTCGATGTTGATGCTTCGCCAGGTGAAAGCCACGATTTTTCCTCTCTCTCTGTCTCTCGGTCAACTCATGCGGCACCCATTTTCCTTCCTTTTTAATTTTTCCCATGGCATGTAAACGTTTGGAAATACCTTGGCGAGTCATGTTTAATGCCTCCGCAAGTTGATCTTGTGTTTGCGTATTATCTTCATCCAATAACGCTTGTAAATCGGCGTCCTCAATTGTTTTTGGTCTTCCGGAGCACTTCTTATCCTCAGTGTCGAAAACCCCACTTCTGAAGCGTTTAAACCAATCTTCACAGGTAGTTTTCGATGGTACATGTACGCCTCCTCAAGCAAACGACGTGCTTCAGCTGCATTTTTTTTCAAGTTAAAGCAGAAAAGCAAAGCTTCCCGCAAATGCTGTTTATTTGGCACAAAACTCGACATCTTTATTGTTAGAAAAAATATTTTTGCGTTGCGATATGTGTTGGTATTATGACTGATTATTGTTGACAGACGTCCGAGCTATAAAAAAAACACAACTTTAGACATGTATGTCGACTACATGTGTCGTTAGTGCCATCCATGTGTGAAACCCGGAAACTTAGTTTGTAATAGCGCACCTAGTATGTAATAAACACAAGTAATATTACCAGGTATGTAAATATGAAACCGGAATTTACCAATAGATGGCCATAGCTGTCAATGTAGTTGCCGTCAGATCGCGTCATTGACGCCATTTCCTT